TTTATTGAAAAATGACATTGTTATTAATAGGATTTTTTAAAGATAATTTTATTAACTGAATTAAATCTAATAACTTTTATTTTAAGCTAAAATATATTAAAATTATCGGTAGCTATAAAATAATAAGCGATTAAATTACATGCATTATTTTGGATATTTTGCTATGAATATAATTTAATTTAGGTGGGAACTTTTAAACATTTTCTTATAAATTAATTCTTCTACTCTTTTAATACAAAAAATCTTTATGTGTGCAATTTTTAATTACACAAATAAATTTTTATATGTTTAATAAAATTTTATTGTATTTTTGTACATCAAAAAGACAATTTTTTATTTAAATTTATTTTATTATTTTTTGAAGTACAGTCAAAAATTTTAATTTACTATTGCTTTAATTAATAAATTATCTATCTATCATTTCTTAGATAGCTTTCAAATCAATTAATTTTCTATTCAGATACTGAATTCCTCTGAGGGTGCGGAGTTCTAGGAATTAAGAATACTTAAAAAAATAGAAAATATTAAAAAACCTTAATTTTTTAAGTAGTTGAATTATATTGTGAGGATTTTATGTAAAATATATTATTTAAAAACATCAAAATTTTGATTTGGTAACACTAAATTTAGATAAATAATAGATATATTTTTGATATTAAAACAATTTAACTAAAATTTAGTTTTTTTATAATAAATATTTTAATTTTAATGATTTAATTTAGCTCTTATTTATTATTTCTTTCTTATCAAGTTCAAATTAATTAAATTCCTTTTTTAAAGTATAAATTCTATAGGATAATCTGTGAATCATTATCAAAATTTATGAGTTATTAAAATTTGAGAAACAAAAAATTATTATGAAAAGAAACAGATAAATTGGAATTTAATTTAATTTTATAATGAATGTAGAAAATATTAGTTTTATTTTTTAAATTTTTTTGTTGATTTCTGAATTAATTAAGATTGATTATCTATGCCTAATATTAGTTTAATAGTTTTAAAGTTAAGTTTATTTATCATAAAAAATATAATTGAACAAAAATTTTCTGTTAAAAATAATGAATAAATAATTTTTCGAAAATTTAAATTTCATTTTATCAAGAAAATAAATTAAATATTTATTTATTATTAAAAAA